GATTTTCATCATTTATTTGCAGGAGACTTTCAAATTATGTTTATTTAATACAGATTTAAGCTGGAAGCAGCAGCTGCTATCAGCATCAGATCCATCAGCTCCACCAGCTCTGTCAGGGTTAAATACAAAACATTATCAAAAACACAATGGAGGAGAAAACAGACTCTGAGACGTTACTCTTTAGACTTTCAAGGAGAGCAGCGGAGCCTTTACAATCTCCACCATACTCTGACCAGACTGTACCATCTCCACCATACTCTGACCGGACTCTACAGTCTCCACCATACTCTGACCAGACTCTATAGTCTCCACCATTCTCTGACCAGACTCTATAGTCTCCACCATACTCTGACCAGACTCCGCTGCCTCCTCTCTCTTTATTAAGGACCGTGCCCTAAGTTACATGGGCCTGCAGCCTCTAAGGGAGGAGAGCACACAGGCTGCACGCAGGTGTAGCTTAATGTTACATTATATCCCACATATATCCAAGTTCTTTATCATGGTACAGTCAGGCGCTCCGATGGGTGAGAACTGAGGAACTTGGCCTTCTCACACTTCTGCTCTTAGCTGCTGTTTTGCTGTAGACGCCGCATCTGGTTATTCAAATCTTCTTACGCAAGCACATTTGCTATTCATGCCCACACAATAAAAGTTCATAATGTTCTGATTGAGAGTAAATAATGTTCTGATAACAAGAGGTTTAGAATGATAGATACAAAAAGTATTTACAGGCGTCCTCCATTACTCCTGTTTCTGGAGACTTAAAGTGACTAACCACATGTCATGTGTTCATGTTAACGGCGTTCAGAGACCAGTCGACCACGTGATGCTGGAGGTTTAGGGCCGAGGCACAGACTTTATTTACAGCTTCAAACTCAGAGGGAGGAAGCAGAGGCTCTACGATCAGCTTCTCGTTCTGGTTCTGGTTCTGGTTCGAGTTCTAGTGGTTCTGGTCGGCCTGAACCAGAGACAGTTCTTCTTCTTCTGGAGGCTGACGGGAGCACCACTTCAAACAGGATGTTTTTTTTTCTGTTAGACCAGAAAAATAAGAACAACAACAGGAACACAGAAGACAGAACCTAGAAGCTTCAGCTGGAGGCTCAGAGGGAGGAAGCAGAGGCTCTACCACCAGCTCTGGTTCTGGTTCTGCTGGTTCTAGTTCTGCTGGTTCTGGTTCTGGTTCAGCTGGATGCTCAGAGGGAGGAAGCAGAGGCTCCACGACCAGCTCTGGTTCTGGTTCTGGTTCTAGTTCTGCTGGAGGCTCAGGTTCTGGTTCTGGTTCAGCTGGAGGCTCAGAGGGAGGAAGCAGAGGCTATAGGACCAGCTTTGGTTCTTGTTCTGGTTCTGCTGGAGGCTCTGGTTCTGGTTCTGGTGGAGGCTCGGAGGGAGGAAGCAGAGGCTATAGGACCAGCTCTGATTCTGGTTCTTGTTCTGGTTCTGCTGGAGGCTCTGGTTCTGGTTCTGGTTCTGCTATAGGACCAGCTTCTGGTTCTGGTTCTGGTTCTGGTTCAGCTGGAGGCTCAGAGGGAGGAAGCAGAGGCTCTACGATCAGCTCTGGTTCTGGTTCTGGTTCTGGTTCTGGTTCTGGTTCTGGTTCTGGTTCAAGTTCTGGTTCTGGTTCAGTTGGAGGCTAAGGTTCTGGTTCTGGTTCTGCTGGAGGCTCAGAGGGAGGAAGCAAAGGCTCTACGACCAGCTCTGGTTCTGGTTCTAGTTCTGGTTCTAGTTCTGGTTCTGGTTCTGGTTCGAGTTCTAGTGGTTCTGGTCGGCCTGAACCAGAGACAGTCCTTCTTCTTCTGGAGGCTGACGGGAACACCACTTCAAACAGGATGTTTTTTTTTCTGTTAGACCAGAAAAATAAGAACAACAACAGGAACACAGAGGAGAGAACCTAGAAGCTTCTGCTGGAGAATCAGAGGGAGGAAGCAGAGGCTCTACCACCAGCTTTTGGTTCTGGTTCTGGTTCTGGTTCTGGTTCTGGTTCTGGTGCTGGTTCAGCTGGAGGCTCAGAGGGAGGAAGCAGAGGCTCTACCACCAGCTCTGGTTCTGGTTCTGGTTCTGGTTCAGCTGGAGGCTCAGGTTCTGGTTCTGGTTCTGGTTCTGCTGGAGGCTCAGGTTCTGGTTCTGGTTCTGGTTCTGGTTCTGGTTCTGCTGGAGCCTCAGAGGGAGGAAGTGTCTTCTGTTTCCAGAAGCTTCTTCAGTTCAGCCGGAGGGTAAACGGACAGCAGAGACTTTAACATCTGGTTTCGTTGCTCTGGCGGGTATTTGGACAGCAGAGACTTTAAGTCCAGCTCTGGTTCCTCGGGAGGCCGGCAGGGAAACCACTTCAACCAGCATGCTTTTTTCTGATGGAACAAAACCAGAAGAACAACAACAACAAGAAGGCAGAGGACACAAACGGCAACGGTCAGCTCCAGCTGGGCGTCCTGGGCTCCTGCGGGAGAAAAACAGGTGTGAGTGCACCCAGAGCAGCTGCTTTCTACAGAACGTTTATGTTTATTATGTTTATGTTTATGCATTTGGCAGACGCTTTTATCCAAAGCGACTTACAGGGTAGAGACAATATCACATCTATCATCACTATGACAATAAGCTATATAGAGGAGAAACACTGATCAGAGTCAGGGATGAGATAGAGATAGAGGTAAAGGGACTACAGAAGGAGCTGTGGGGGGTAGAGGTACGGGTTAGGGTTAGGATAGGAGCTGTGG